TCCTGTCTTGCTAGGTTATTTATTACTTCAACACTCCTGCACTTAGGAGAAGACATCAATCTTTTGACCGTGTTAGTAATAAAAAGAATTTATATTATACTTGTTTGAAATACTATTATTTAACCTTTCTATAGTTTGATTGTAGTCTTACCGAGTTATTTATTACTTTGATATTTCTATACTTATAAAAAAAATATTAATTTTTTAGTGGTGTTATATTCTCATTTCAAAGCTTCTACCATATTATTATTATTCAAATTTTACTGATAAACAAGGTTGTGGGCTGATGTATTTCAACGGAGAAGGGATTAAAATTGAGCCTGTTACGTCTCAAGTCTATTAACTGTTATCATGAGATTTTGCAACCAATTACATTTTGTTTTGAATTTTTTATTTATGAACAATTAAAAGTGTATAGCCATTACACTACCAATAACAAAAAGCCTTTTTTGCTCAGTTTCTAGGATCATACAGGAAATGTTTTCTTAATAAATAACTTAAGCATTAAAATACTCCTAAAAATAAATAGTTTAAACATTAAGGAGTTCAATTAGCCTTGAAAATAAATAAAATAAAATTTATATAAACTGAAAGTAATAAACAAAGTTATACTTAATGGTTAGAAAAGATTGTATGAAATTCATGACTTTTTTTAATTTAAAAAAAACAAATTATCGTTTACAAAAAAAAAAGGCAGATCCATGACTAGGTTTTCAATTTATTTTGTTTTATTTTTTACCTTTTATATTTTATAATTATATTTTTTAAATAAATTTATTAAAATATATTTAATAATTATTCAATTATATCATTGTTTTTAAATAATATTTTTAATTTTTATGATGATATTAATAATAATTTTTTAATAATTATCTCTCGGTTGTGTGTCAAATATTTTTTTATGGAATTTTTTTATATATTTTTTCTCAAATTTAATATTCTTATATTTTTAACACTCCAATCTCAAAATTATCAATTTATTTTTCAACTTGCTTCTAGGTTCACGTTAAATTTTTATTTGAAAAACAAGACTTTAGTGAAAATAAAATTTTCAAAGAACAAAGAATGAAATAATAAGAAAATGGGTTTTTATTAAAGAGATGCTTTTATATCCTTATTTCAAATTGCTTAAATTTTATTTTAAGTTTTTTTAATTTTTATGCAATGAACAGCATAATTATATATTTTTTAAAAGAACATTAATAAGATAATACTAAAAAAATTACTCTTTTCCTACAACATTTAAGTAATTACTTTTTTTCTTTTTTCTTTTTTGCATAGATTCATTTTGTTGTTGTATTATAAAATAAAATTAAAAATTAAAAATGTTCTGTGACACGAGTTCCCAATTCTTCATATGCATCTTTTGATTTTCTATTTTATTTTTTATTTAATATTAACAACTCTATCATATAATTTTTTTATTTATTCTATTAAATGCAAGCATTTCCTTTCCAGTTCAAAGATTTGTTTTAAAGATATTGTTAAATACACTAACAACACTTGCACATCACTAGCTAACTTACATGTACGATGATAAAATATAAATAAATAATTTCTAATATAAAAAAATAAATAAATGATTTCTAATATAATATATATATATATATATATATTATATTAGAAATTATTTATTTATTTATTTATTATCATCTTACTAATATATGAACAAATAGAGCAACTTGATCTTCTATTGTGTTGTAATTCAATTTTTAATATCTTTATTTTTGTATATATTTTGAATAAAAAAATAGAAAAATAGAAAAATATATCCTTTTAGTAACTTTTAGTTAATTTTAATCATTTCATTATTTTTTTTATTTTTATTGTCAAGAAAATAATACAATAAATTATGAAAATAGTGAGGTTGAAATTGGGGCGATGATTAAGCATCACAAACAAACAAAAAATGAAGTTTGCTTCTTCTTTTTTTCCATTATTGAGGTGTTAAATTGAAAAAATGACTTAATTTGATTTAATTCAACTAAAAGTGAAAGAAATTTAAAGTTCAAAGATGATTTTGAAATAAATAGTCAAATTAGAAATGAATAAACTTAATTGAAAATATAATTTGAAAGTGAAAGTCATTTTGGTTTAAAAATAAAGATTGGAAGAACCAAGGATCAATTTGCAATAAATAATTAAATAAAAAAGAATAAATTGATTCAAGTAAGGGTACAATTGAAAATAAATAAACATATAATTTAGGAGTTTAGGGAAAACAAGGACTAAAATGAAATTAAAAAATAAATTAATTCAATTTAGGGTTTAAATTGAAAAAAGTTTCAAGATTAAATATATTATTCAAATAAAATTAAAAAATTTAAAAACCAATGACTATAATAAAAAGGATAAAATATCAAGGGGACCAATTGATTTTTTTTAATTTAATTTTAATCCTGTTTGTTTTATTCCAATGAATTTAGTCTTATTAATTTCATTCTAGTCTAGTTATTTTTAATTATTTTTAATTGATTCATTTCAATCAAAGTTAATCAAGTAATAAAACTCTCACGGAAACTAAAAGTGAGTAAAAAAATCAAAAAAATTGATTAAAATAAAAAAATAAAAAAAATAACTAAGAAAACTGAATAATAAAAAAATAATTAAACCAATTAAAATATTTTAAAAAATACTTGGCTCTGTTTAGTTTTGGTTTCATAAGTCTGAAACCAAAAAAACGCAAAAATATAAAAAAATCAAATAAAAAAACTAAATTAAATCGAAACCAAACCCATTAGAAAATAATAAAAAACAAAAAAATATAATTTTTAATTTTTAATATAAAATAACCAAACAAAATAGCATCAAAACCCAATAAATCAAATTAAACTGAACCATAACCGGTTAGTTAAGTTTTGATTTTTTAATATAAAATAATTAAATTAAATTAAAACTAACTTATTTTATTTTTTATATTTTATAAAATTTTAATCTAATTATTTTTATAGATAAACCGAAAATAATTCTTCGTTATCCCCAATATGAGTCTTTCCTCCTCAAACCTCAATCAATCAGTGGTGTCCCATTTCTTCCACACAAGACATGAAGACACCATTGTCCCTTTCCTTCAACAATACTCCCCCAGAACAACAAAGAAAAAACAAAAGTTAAAAAGCCCAGCAACGACCTTCCCTCACCACGCTGACAGCCACTCCCATAGCCGTTTTCTTCCTCACCCAAATCCCGTCACTGTTGCTTTTTTCTCCACAAATAGCTAACTCCGACCACCCACAAGTACCCACAGCAGTACCTCCCACCAGCCTTCACCGAGCAAACCACCATCACAGATCCAAAAATCCACTAGAACCACCACCAGCTACAGACTTCAACCTAATCTAATGACCCATTTACTCCTTAGCCACCTAGAAGTTCCTCTTTTTTTTAACCAGAACCGCCAAACTCAACCGCCAGCCCCAGTGAAGCCATTACTCATCATTTTTTCTATCACCGACACGAATAGCAACCTCGCAACCACCATCACCATCAAACCAACCAGTACCACCACACCGACCAATCTGTCAGCAACAACCACAACATCCCATAATCCTCCCGTAACATCATGGTATTTTAACGACGCTTGCACCCATAATATACATACATACATACATACATATAATTATTATTTATTGGATTATATATATATATACACACACACACACATAATTTTTTTTATTTGTATTTAAAAATGCTCTTAGTTATAAAAATACATTGAAAAAACTATCATTCAGATTTTTTTAAAATAAAAAATAAAAATATATGATTAGTAATGTAGCGTGAATCACATAATTAATAAGTTAATAAAACCTATTTTTATTCAAGTTGTTAGATACCTTTGATTTGAATAACATTGAAAAAATAAAAATTATAATAAAACTAAATAAAAAACCACCTCAGAAGCATTGTTCTTTAACTGGTTCGTGGATGTTTGTTATTATGCAATTGCAATTAAGAAAATGAGTTTTAAAAAATATTTTAAATTATGGTTTTAAAGTAGCAAGTTTTAAAATATATATATTACCTGTTATGAGATAAATTTTTAAATAAATCTCCATTAATAAAAAATAGATTTTTTAGCTTTTATAAAACTAATATTTAAATATAATTATGTATGAGATCTAATACAAAAATAAAACCTATTTAATTAACTGAATAATTTTTTTCCTAGAAGTGAATAAAAATTAAAAGTTACCACCGTAAATTTGTTAAAAAAGTCAACAGCATCAACTTTGTGATTGGGCTCATTCAACCAATTATATATTTTTTTAATTATCAAAGTAAATTAAAAGTTTTAATAGAATAACGCCATAATCTTATAAAATCGCATGCTATCACCTTATGATACTTCATAAATGTGAAATTTATAAAATATCGTTATTTTTAAATATGGTAAAATAATTGTCTTGTTTTAGAATAATAATATTTATATATATCATATTTTTAAAGAGTGATATTTGTGAACTGATTAATTTATATAATTATATAACCAATGGAACAATAGTCATATAGTTGTATATGCATTACTAGAATAATATGACAAGTTTAGGCTTATGAAAAGGTTTTGTTGCGTCATATTAGGATAATGACTAAACAAATTATAATTTTTTATCTGATATTTTAATTATATTTAAATATTTATAAAAGTTTCCATAAATTATTATTTTTTAAATCGCAATGAAATAACTACTTCAATCATTTGATTTTTAGATTTCAAAGATTCTGACAAGGTCTTGGTTTTGAAAATTTTAATAATTTTATAATTTATTTTATAAATTAATAAATTAATTAATCTTGAATTTAAATAAATATTGTATATATAAATCATAATATTAATTAAAAATTATATTATAATTACTGATCATGTTACATAATAGATATTATGGTATTAAAACCATGATATTTAATTAAATATTTATATATCACAGTTCTTAATAGCATATTCGAAAATATATTATTTTACCAAATACTTCTTGCTTATTAACTATTTCGCAATTTATTTGCATCTTCCATGCTAATTTCACAATTTATCCTTCAACCATTCGCCTAAAATTGAGAGACCACGCCATAATTTCATTTTCACCCATTTTAATTTATATGTATAATTTTCTGAGAATTTGATTGATTGTTGATCGAATAGAAAAACTAAGGAAAGTAAAAAAAATAAAAAAGGAAAGGAAAGCACAACAGAAAGGAAGGACCCTAAGGGCCAGTAATCCCAATTCGATCGATCTTTTGCTTATGAAACCCTGGTACAGTTCCAATTGTAATGGCAGAGGAGAATGGCATTGGCAGATCCGAGATAAACGGTGGATTTGCTTCGATGGACTCGATGGAGTTGCGGTGGGTGTTCCAAGACGACGACGACGAGGATGATGATGATTCAGTGATGGACGATCACAACGGCGACGACAATAGTAGACAGCTGCACGGCGGTGGATTAGAATCTGACGAGGAAGATGAAGAGGACACAGGGGAGCAACGGCTGTTTCGAACAGGCCCCCTCATCGACCCCTTCGATGTGGAAGCCCTGGAGATCCCGAGCGCCCACCGCAACGATAATTACTACGAGGTGGAAACCATTATTATTGTTGTTGTTGCTGTTATTGAATATGGTTTGTTGAAAAAGAAAAATTGATTTGAAAATAGAAAATGTTTGGCAGGAGTTGGGTGTGGGAAGGAGAATAATACTTGCATTTCAAACACTGGGAGTTGTATTTGGTGATGTTGGAACCAGTCCTTTGTATACTTTTGGTGTTATGTTTACAAAGGCGCCTATCAATGGAGAAGAAGATGTTGTTGGTGCATTGTCTTTGGTTTTGTACACTTTAATCTTGATTCCACTTCTCAAGTATGTTCTTGTTGTTCTTTGGGCTAATGACGACGGCGAAGGTACTACTTAGTAGTTACTACTGCTCACTTAATTACTAATTATGCCTAGTTATAATCTTACTATACATTTGATTCTATTCACTATATTGCAGGTGGTACTTTTGCTTTGTACTCTTTGATTTGTCGACATGCTCAGGTCAATCTTCTCCCGAATCAGCTTCCTTCCGATGCTCGTATATCTAGCTTCAGGCTTAAGGTGCCCTCCCCAGAACTTGAGAGATCTTTGAAAATCAAGGAGAGACTTGAGACTTCGGTTACTCTCAAAAGATTGCTTCTCATGTTAGTGCTTGCTGGTACCTCTATGTTGATTGCTGATGGGGTTGTTACTCCTGCTATGTCAGGTCTGTTTTTGTTTCTTTGGAGTTTATCAGAATTATGTTATTGTTCTTATGTACGAAAAAGCTATTCTAGATATTTTATTGACGTGCCCTTCTTTTATTGTTTTTGTGCAGGCCATGTTTGCCATATTTTTCTTTGGTTCTTAGTAACTAGTACCTTATGATTTACCTGGGTATCTTTGTTTGTCTCAATGCAGTAATGTCAGCTGTTGGTGGTCTGAAGGTTGGAGTAGCTGCAATTGAGCAAGGTGATCTAATATTCTGCTAGCCATATATATATTTTTTTATATAAGAGTTAGGGTTTCAGGGTTTCTTCTTAACTTATCAGTCCGAGTCTGGCATTATTCCTTTGAGAATTGGACATTTGGAGCCTTTCATTTCCTTTCTTTCTCCTTTTTTGTTTTTGTTTGGGAAATTGGGCTCTAGATTTTGATAGGGGGGCTATTGTAACCTGGACCACTGTCAAATAAATTAATAAATAAATATAGAAGGAAAGTAATTGTAACTCTGATAACATAAAACTTTGTTTGTTGTGTGATTTATTGGAGATCTAACATAGTGTAATCATAGGTGGGGTTTGTAATCTGATTTTCCATTGAATGATAGGAACAACAAAACATGATGCAGGAAGAGGCTGTTTCTGCATGAAATAGTTTATATAGCAAAACTTTTGTAGCAAAAGCTGTAATAGACATATCATTTACTGGTTATATGGTTCAGAAGTTGCTCAAAACTATCAGGGCTGATTTATACACCCAATTTAATCTCTCTTCTAAGTCCCCAGTGGCAACTACAGGAATGGGTTCTTTCCACAGACCAATGCCCTCTGTAACTTAATGATTGTAGTGCTTGGCTCGGGCATGGATCAAGATTCTGATTCATTGTGAATGTGACTGAACTTTTTGAACAGACTGTCAATTTAAATTTACGATGTGGATGAATTTTGTCCCCAGTTCTCATGCTTTTGATTGTCATGTTGGGCTATAGTTTATGCCTAGCCCTCCTCTCCCCCTTACTGCCAAAAAAAAAAAAGGCAAAAAGAAATTTCTGGCAAGTTTTAGGCTGTGTTTGTTTTGTGTAAAATATTTTCCTGGAAATGAGTTAAATAGTTCCTGTTTGAAATTAATTTGATTGCAACCAAATTAGCAAACCTTGCATGCCTTGTATTACATTGTCAAATTTAAATGTCCTTGCCTTTTTGTTTTTTTCGCTGTAGACAACTAGATAAAATATTGAGTTAATTATTTTTGTTATTTGTTTTGTGCAGAGCATGTGGTGATGATTTCAGTTGCCTTTCTTGTAATTTTGTTCAGTGTACAGAAGTTTGGGACCAGTAAAGTCGGACTTGTTGTAGGCCCTGCTTTATTCTTGTGGTTTTGTTCTCTGGCAGCCATTGGGATTTATAACCTTGTTAAATATGATAGCAGTGTCTTAAGGGCATTTAATCCTGTTCATATTTATTACTTCTTCAAGCGGAACTCAACTAAGGCCTGGCGTGCACTTGGAGGCTGCTTCCTATGTGCAACAGGTAACACACTAATATACAATTTTTTAGTGCTTGAATGCAATGGTGCTTGCTGTTTTTGTTTAGTGGTAAGGCTTACTGATTGATTCCCATCTGTAAATTTGGCTGGCTTTCTAATTAGCTCACAAAACCATTTTCTTGTTTAGTGCATGGATAATATTCACATTGCTTCTAGTCTAAACTGTTATGAAGTTTGTATAACCTTAAGAGTGTTGGATAATTGATGTTTGAAGCTCATGAAAGAATTTAGGTTAATGCAGCAGAAATTTTAAAGTTCATCAATAAGTGGTGGCTGATAGAGTATAACTGGATTTGATTGGCCTAAAAAGATTGATCTTTTTGGTATTAGTGGCAATGCAGATGGCTTAATTTTCATCAACTTATGAGAGTGTTTGATAACCTTGTCATTTCCCTTATTAAATGGAGATTGCAGTTGAGTTAACCTTGAAGGCATGATGGAGCTATGGTGTCTAAAAGTGTGGAGTCACTTAAACTACCAAGTGTCAAAGGGTAGATCCCCAAGTCTCTCTAAGCGGCACCCTATTTTTTTTTCCAAAAATAAGAAAGTGGTAACAAAAATAGAGATGGAGGGGATTTGTTTTCTAGAGGATGTTTGGTTATGGGAAACTCCCTTTTGCTTTCTTCTTGGGAGGATGGTTAATTCTCCATTAAGTTTTTGTAATTCCCTTTTAGATGTCTACTAATAGCATGGGAGGTATGGGCCATGCCTCCAATTCCAATTTTAAGATTAAAGAAAGGAAGTGTAATTCTTACTGAATTGTCTTCTATGCATGGAAAATTAGTAGCTAAAGTACCCTCCATGAGAATTAAAGTGGCCCTTACATGATTATCTGGAATTGGAAGGGACTTGGAGAAATTGACTTGTGTTCTAGCAAGGGCAGAACACATGTTTATACAGGTTCTTTGTAGACAAATGTTTTCTATTTAGCCAAGGTCTCTTGAAGCAATCACTCTCAAGTAAAGGCTAAAATTCTGTAGTGTAGCATGGAACTTGTAAAAAATTCACACCCATTTAAAGAACGCCTGAGTCTTGATGATAATATGAACTTGGAAGGTGATGTTTACAGCTGTCATAACTGAATCTTATTTTTCACTTTTCTTTTATGATTGCTTCTGATGGATTCTTCCATCTCTCTCTGTTTTTTTTTTTTTAGGAGCTGAGGCAATGTTTGCAGATCTGTGCTACTTTTCTGTGAGATCTGTGCAGGTAAAGAAGCAAGAAAATACATGTTTAATGTATCCGATATAGAATCTACGTCGTTCTCTGATTATGTCAAGTGTCACAGAATTTTATATTCGTTGTTATATTCTGATTGCTGCAATTCTGATTTATTTAATAGTGATCATTTGCAGCTTACCTTTGTATTTCTCGTTTTGCCATGCCTTTTGTTGGGTTATTTGGGCCAAGCTGCATACCTTGTGGAACATCACACTGAAAATATGGCTGAGCTAGCTTTCTTTTCTTCGGTTCCAAGTAAGGTTCATTCTTTATCTGTATCAATATGGACTATGCAATTTAATTAAGTAGATATGCTGCTTGCACAGCCTTATTGTGGCTTGTATTCTGTGTTCTTAGAAAATAAATTATTTATTGCAGTATAAAGTTGAATTCAATCCTGTTTTACATTTGGAACCTATTACATTCAGTTCTGTTGCAACAAGTTTTATTCTGTGTCTTGCAGGTGGTGTTTTCTGGCCTGTCTTCCTCATTGCTAACTTAGCTGCATTAATTGCTAGTCGGACTATGACTACTGCTACGTTTTCATGTATAAAACAATCAACAGCACTTGGTTGCTTCCCCCGTCTTAAAATCATTCATACCTCTCGGAAATTCATGGGTCAGATTTATATTCCTGTCATAAACTGGTTTTTGCTGGTAGTTTGCTTGGTGTTTGTCTGCTCTATCTCTAGCATCACTGAGATGGGAAATGCATATGGTAATATACTTGTTCCCTAGTTTTAACTGAATTTTTTCTTGGCATTCCAATTGCTACTGTTCATAAATTATTGAGTTTGCTTTTCTTTTCTGTTCTTTTTAATAATACAATGAATGTGTTGAAAAAATGCTGAAGGATACATAGGAGTATACAATAAAGCACCACCAAAGAAAGAAATAGGAAATGGTCATATCTTACATTCTAGCATATAGAGATCAAAGAAGACCAATCACGCAACATCCCAGTTTTAATTTCACCAGCAGCATGCCCCATCCCTTCAAACGCCTGAACTTCAAAGACTTGAGTGGAACCTTCTGCCATGCAATTATACTAATGCATTTCTTTGACAGTTTCCTCCAGGTATCTACTAAGTACTGTCTTAGATATAACCCAGTGAATACCAAATAAGGACAAGATTGCATACTGTATTTCTTCAGCAGCCAAGAGAAAAAACAGAATCATTATGACGAAATTATCAACCATGAAGATGTGTGATAACACTGCCACCAACACTAACTTGAAATGCTGGTGCAAACTTGCAGTTCACACTTGCATAGATATAACGTGGTAAATTACACTACATTTCAAAATAATTTTATCTTGAAGCGCCTTCTTGTATACATGCCCCATTGAACAAAGTTTCTCGCTACTGTAATTGCCCATCCTGAATGGTGGTAAAAATAATAAGCTAGCTTTTGATGCAGCACTTCTATATCTCCCTTATTTGTGCAAGTTTCAAATAAGTTTGGTTTTGTTTTGTTTCTCCCCGCTTTGTTTTACTGTTTGCCATTATTTGAAAGTAATTTTTGTAGCCAGCTACTTGATGTGCAATTTGCTGAATAGCGTACTTTGCTGGGTACTTGAGAATACTTTTCTTTTTCCCACTGAGGCTCGAGTAGTTTCCCTTGGAACTAAGCCAAAAAAAAAATTTAATGTTATGCTCACAACCCTTTAACCGATCAGCAAATGAAAGAATTTCCTTGGATAAATTTGTGTGCATCATTTAAAACTTCAGGGAGACAGGTTTGTACTTAATAAGGAAATGAATCATATCTTAATAGTATTGCTGCTTTTGATTATTTGCTGAAGTTTCATAGGTTGGATGTTTCTTGTTCATGGTATGTGGCAATGTTGTAAGTGCTGTTACTGTTAATTGTTTGGTGATTAGTTTATTTCTTCCATACCATAATGTGAATATCTGGGAAATGAATTGACTATTGAGTTTCTTTGGTTCTTCCAATTATCTTTGTCATGTCTTTCATCCTATTTGAAAAGCAGTTACACGACTGCTATTCTTGAGTAGCACATTTCATTTATAAAAAGTTGCATTCATGCAGATAGTGAAGCCATGTTTTGCTTCAATTATTTCGGTCTGTATGCAATGTGTTGATGGTAATAACCTGCTCTGTGTCGGAGAGTCTAGTCACTTCAAAGTTATGCATCAAACTAGCATGCTTTTCCATCGTTGTGATTTATATAAACAATTTAATTGTTCTGATGGTAATCTGTTATTACAGGAATTGCTGAGCTGGGGGTGATGATGATGACAATGATTTTAGTTACTATTGTTATGCTTCTTATATGGCAGATAAACATCATTATTGTCCTGAGTTTTTTGGTTATTTTCCTTGGAATAGAGTTGGCCTTTTTCTCATCAGTTCTAGGGGGCATGGGAGATGGAAGTTGGATAATACTGGTTTTTGCTGTAGTTATGTTTCTTATAATGTTAGTCTGGAACTATGGGAGCAAGCTCAAGTATGAAACTGAAGTTAAGCAAAAGCTTTCCCTGGATTCGATGCGTGAATTAGGACCCAATCTTGGAACAATCAGAGCCCCAGGCATTGGTTTGCTTTATAATGAACTGGTGAAAGGAATACCTGCAATTTTTGGCCATTTTCTTACTACTCTCCCTGCTATCCATTCAATGATTATATTTGTGAGTGTAAAGTATGTTCCAGTTCCAGTAGTGCCTCAAGGTGAAAGATTCCTTTTCCGACGAGTCTGCCCAAAAGGCTACCACATATTCCGTTGTATTGCGAGGTAATGAGTTCAATTCTTGTAAGTAGGAGTTGTCAACTTGTCATCTGATGCATGGAAATGTCATTTTGAGTTAAATAAATTGGAAACTTAATTTCATGATGATAATTTTATTGCTAATTGTTATTTTTTTTCTTGACTGTTTAGTTTACACAGTACCAACAGGGGCACCTCACAGTGTTTGGGGTGTTAATGGGCATTATTCTTCTTATAATTATCCGTGTTCTGTTTTTCTTCTTACCTTATTCTTTCCCTATTGCCTTACAAAGTTCAATTTAATCACTTAAACAGGTATGGCTACAAGGATGCTCGGAAAGAGAATCAGCAGGCATTTGAACAGCTGTTAATTGAAAGCCTTGAGAAGTTCATTCATCGGGAAGCCCAGGAACGTTTGTTAGAGAGTGATGGGGATGATGATACAGACTATGAGGATGACTCCTCTAGTACAAGAGTCTTCATCACTCCCAATGGAAGTGTCTACTCACTTGGTGTGCCCCTACTAGCTGAGTACATCAACACAAGCAAGCCCATTTCTGAAGCAAGCACATCTGAGGCGGCAAAGCCAGGGATGCCTGGAGACCCTACAGGTTCTGATGCAGAACAGAGTCTTGAAAGGGAATTGTCTTTTGTTCGCAAGGCTAAAGAATCTGGGGTTGTATATCTTCTTGGGCATGGAAACATTAGGGCAAGGAAGGATTCCTGGTTTATCAAGAAGCTGGTCATAAACTACTTCTATGCTTTTCTGAGGAAGAACTGTAGAAGAGGGATTGCGAATATGAGTGTACCCCACTCGCATCTCATGCAGGTTGGCATGACTTACATGGTTTGACAATTGATCTTGATACAAGCTTTAGCCAAGCCTTGGTAATTTTCAATACCATGTAACCGCTGTTGATTGGAAGTAGAATATACTGGTTCACACATGGTTAGGACAATTTATCGACATGAGATACATCCATGTGCTTACACATCTTCCTAGCTATGCCCAGCCATTAGGACTGCCAGCCCATGGAACTCTTTAATTTGGGAATTTTGTAGTGTTCATATTTTAGGTTGTTTTTAATGCAACTGATTTTTACTGTAATGAGAGATGAATATGGGAATTAACTCGTGTAGTTACCATTTCAAAGTGATGTGAATCTGATATGGCGTGAAAATCCCATTTCATGTTGTCCTAAAAAAAATTGATAACCCAGTCGAGTTTTATGTAGATTATGGTTTTCATCTGATACCACTTTGCTGTCTCTCTTATTGACTCCAGCCATGGTGACTTCTCAACAGACTATAAGATTATGTTATCTTTATCATTCTCTCTGAGCTCTCCATCAGCATTAAGAGAGGCAAAAACAAGAAGGCTTCTTATCCTTCCTTTAATTTGCTTTCTTTAGACTACGGTGTTGGGGGTGATTATAAAGAACAGGGCTTTATATTTTCAATTCCATGGCACGAATTTTTAGGTTAGAACTCACATTGATTATTCCTCTCCCTTTTTTTGTTCTTGTGATTGTTTGTTGCTGCCATTTTGTCTTGTTCATTTGGAACAGATCTGGTACATTAGGAACCAAAGAAAGAAACAAGCTCCCAAGGAAACTAGCACCGGCAGCATCACCACACAAAGCATGCTGAACCAGCTGCAATGGAGGCCACGACCAGAAAATGCGTAATGGAATTTCATGTTAAGTGGCTCTTGTAATGATGCGAGTAAGAATCATAGTGTCGACACAGTTGTTGAGACTCAAGGTGTATTGTCTCTTTCTTAAGCAAAAAGTACAGGATCTTTGGATGGATGGAGACCCAACAAATATTGTGCATGATGGCCAGAAGTTTGAGAATAGGTCCACTTCTATCACTGAGGTTCACAAACTAGTAGATATTTCAGGTGGGCTTGGCATGTTGGAATTTCCAAGGTTAGCTTCTCCAGTTCCAGAGCCAGATTCTTCTACTGGCAGAATGCAGAATATTGATACACCTGCTACCTTAACTCCGAGTGTTGATGGAAACGATTCCATATTCGAGGAAGAAGAATGCATTTTGGATTTAGGAACTTCAAGTTGTGAAGAGAAAGAACTTGTCTATGAAGGTGAGGCAATTATTTTTGAACAAGCTGATAAAACTGTGAGGTCTAAGGACAAAATCACTCTATGACAAGGGAAACTGACAAGGAACTTTTTGAAGAACAATGCTAGTCAGTTGATCTCTCCTGACCTATTTTGCTTACAAGATGGGCTTAACGAGCGTGAGCTGAGGATCTTCATTATGGACAATGGCGAGGAGCTTATTCCTGGGTACCTAGAATTTATCAAGGAGATCGTTCATTATGTAGGGTACAAGCCTTGTCTGTATTTTGCTAGAGGATTTTGCAAGAACGAAGAAAGTTGCAGGTTTTCTCATGGTGTTGAAAATATGGTTGAGGTTAATGGTGGGGGTGGTGTTCTTGTGAGGAAAATAGAGGAACAAAACAAAACGAGAGAGATTGGGACAACAGCAACTACGACGGGTGACGGATTTTGCAATTTTGGTCGGCTCCGTGGTGGGAGGAATGATTTTTTTGCAATGGGAATTGGTGAGAAGGAGAATTTGGCATCCAGACATATAATTGATGAAGATGTTTCGGATTATTTCAGTTCCTTTAGACCAGTTCAAGATGTCAGGACTCCATACCAGCAGAAGTGGATGGTTTGACCCACCCAGATACTGTGAGGGAAATGCTGGCAAAGGAAAACCTTCGTTATATCTGCGAGTCACGTGTGCTTGCCAACCCATACAAAGAGAAAGGAACAGTAGCAAACACGATGCGACAATTATCGGAGAGAAGGAAATTTTCACCTTCTTCAAACCCTTTGTCAGCACATCGGTAGACGTTGTGGTGGGGCCAAATTATATCGTGTAAAAATGTAGTCCTAGCAGTTAGTGGATGGTTTCAGTGTTTTTTTTCATTTTTATGATATTTTTTTTAAAAATTACCCCCGGTTGAAACATGCACGACAAAATCACAAATCGAAATCTAAAAAGAGAATAAAAATAATGAGACAACATTTTTTTTACCGTATAAACACAAAAAAAGAAAAGGAAATGAGATTGAATAGCTATTTAACAAATTCTATGGTAATCCTAGCAATGAATCATGTTATCCCAGGTCTCATCATAGTAAAGATCGTCTTGTAGTCATAGCAGGACTAAACTAACAAAACGTTGTCCGGATCTTCAAATAATAATGCACCAAGAGCAACAGAAAAATTAACAGTTGAAATACAAAAATTATGTTACAAAAACATGAGCATACAAGGGTATTTGAACCTGATCTTGCAAAGCTAAATCTCCTAGAATGAAGAAGAGTTGCAGGGAACGAATTATGTAGCTGCCTCTGCCGTTCTCTATTGTCAAGATCACTCTGTCTCGTCCTTGCTTCTTTTTGAATGCTTTATTGCTTCTTGCTCTCTGTCTCTATCACCGGTGCTTCATGGTCTCTGATAGTTAAAGCCTGATGTAAATATGATAGCATGTTTGGCATGAAATTTGTTTTGTAATGCTTCTGAGAGTTAAAGCCTGATTTCTTGTGTGGTGATTGTAGCCAATATGTTAGAGAACATGCTCTCTGATTGATTCGTGAAGATAGGATCAGATTTTGAAAACTAAACCTTGCATCAAAATAGAAAGGATGGTGCTGGTCTTGGAGGAAGGTTGATTGAGTGAGCATATTTGACATGGAATATGTAGCTGATTTTGAGAGTTAAATCCTGATCTTTCACACCAAGATTGTAGCCGACATGTTAGAAGACACGTTTTCATTGTTTTGGTGCCATTAAGAGGCTTAATCAAGATCAAAATTAAATCCTAAAGTTGCTTGAGACACCACAATTTTTGCCTCTCTTCTTTCCGCCCTGAAATCTGCAAAAACCATGAGCAAAATGGTGTCGTTTCCTTCCTATATTCGTCAGCCTGGTCTTCCCTCTTTATCCAAAATGCGTCGTTTTATTTACTGTGAAATGGTGCCGTTTTCAGTCTTAATTAGGGTTTCTTCAAATTCAATCAGGCCAAACTTCAGCACGGTTCTCTCAGTTTAGTGCCTTTTACGTTTCAGTCCATGTTCTTTGAATCTTTCTTAATTGGGTCATTTTCACCTATTTTCCTCAATTTCTTTCAATTATACCCCTAATATAATTAGAATAGGTCCTCTAAACTCTTCGTTTTATCCATTTGTCCTTCAATTCTTTATTTTTAAGCCAAATTGACTTCCAATTTCATATTTTTTTTTTAATTTCCATTAAGCCCTTGATTGATTTCCAATTTCAATGTTTTTCTTCCATTAAGCCCTTAATTGATTTTCTTGGCTATTTGTTCCAAACACATTCTTGAACTTCAATTTATTTCAATCTTAGCCAAATTAAACCAATTTAAGCCTATTTCTCTTCAATTCAGACATCAAGTATAATTTAAAACTTTTCAAACTTCATTTTTGCTCATGATATTCAAATACCGGTCCAATCGCAAGCTATTGGAGGAGCAGGCAGAGCTGCAGCAAGCTATTGAACTCCAGGGGAGATCACTAATCAATTTCCTCCTGGTTTTTGCATTTCTTAGAAAGGAGTACCAGAAGCAACTTAGCAAAAGGACAGATGCAAAGTGGAAGATAGTGCAAGAGATTAACACGTGGCAAAGTTAATTAGGAGTTAGCCTTTCAGTAGAGTTAGTTAATAGTAAAAAAAAAAAAAGAAAAAAGAATTGCTTGGATAAATAAGAAATGTGCACAAACGTGAAAGGCAATCAAGTCATAAGAATTTGAGTTTCTGCAGAACTGCAGTTCTCTCTATCTCTTTCCCTCTACTTCTCTCTCTCAATTTCTCTAGTTTTCTATTTTGTTAAGAAAGTCCTCAACAGTTTCGGTGCCACTGCAAGCATTTTTACGTCACCAAAAGTCAGCTTGATCTTTCAAGTTTCACATAATTGACTTTTTGGCCACCAAGGTTTCACTTGTCGCATCTTTTCATCATTTGGTCGCCAACAACACCGCATAATCTCTTCCAATTTCCCACGTTTTCATTCCTTTTTCCGCCAGCAATTCAATCTGCTAACTCAAAATACCACTGTTCATATAAAAAGAAAAAGAATAACCAAGGTTTGTATCTCTGCACTCCCATCACACCTCTCCCCATCGAGAATCAGAATAAGGCTGTTTTGTTTTCTCCTTCTGGTACAAAAGAACAGAATCCACATCAATCTTGGTGTTTGGAGATGCTCCATAGACTTTTTTCTGCTTCAATGAGAATTTGAATCTCAGAAGCAATGAATTTGTCATCACTCCAATAGAACTCAAACCCATGAGGGCTCCTGCAATTGACGGCGTCAGTATGGTCCCATTTACTGGCAGTAACATTCCAGCTGCAATCGGAATTCCAACCTGCATTTAGTATGCAAGCAGCATCAGATCAAATATTGGAGAAGAGCAAAGCAGAAACTGTTTTTCGCTTATTTCACTCACAGGAGATGCAGAAAAATTCACCTAAGCCTTTTTTAATGATAGGAGAAATTGCTAAACTGAGCTACATGCAAGACCCTGGAAATAAATTTAACTCACAATTACTGGATTCTATAATTCTGCAGGAATCAAAATGCAAAAGAAATGGCAAGGGTGTGTGCGGACAGTAGGCTTAGAAAGGGTTGAACTAAGCAGTATGTTGTCCAGGCTCAACCTCGTGAATATCTGCACTGCAGCTTCAGTTTGAGCTGAGTTTTACCAAGTTAGCAAGGAATTCCACAGATGAAAACCACACCAAATTTGGGAAGGAAAAAGATAGCTGCAGGTTTGATCCATGTTAAACTTCAGAATTCTGTTCTTACCTATGATTTGTAATCCAAATATTTTGCTTCTCTCTCTCTGTTTAAAGATATTTGACTAAGAATATTAGAATCAGCATGTCCGTTATTTCTTCATATATGTATCAAGAAGTCACAACAAATGAACATTGGCTGACATAGTGACATCAAGAGGTAGAGACTGGATTACTCTCTCTCTCTCTCTCTCTCTCTCTCTCTCTCTCTCTCAAGGTGCATGCTTTCAGGATATGCCATATGGTTCCTTTTGCCCAGAGTTGCTTTTATTACAAGATTTTAGTGCTGAAACATATGGCTATTGCTTGCATAATGCAAAAAACTCACGATGTTATATGCAAAGGCCCACCAAAGATTCTGCTTTACAGTTTTCATGGTTAGCCTGCTCAGCTCCAATGCATCAAGCACCTGTACAGAAATAATAAAGTCAATAACACTACCACCAGTAGGCTTATATGTCCTGACGTCAGACCTGCTCAATCAAAATCTTTTTTAGCATCAGCTTAGAAAATTAAATTATAATACTGCTTATTCAAAGCAGTGAATGGAAACAAGATAGCTTGGTTTTGATTTGCTAGATTAGTTCAGATGCATGTTGGATGCTTCTTGTTTTGCTAATATATTGAAATGTATGTTGACTTTAGCTTTGAATTTTATCAATCACTTTTACCAGACATGAATCTTGTTATTATAATTAAACAATTAGAAGCGTTATCATCATGTTAATTTAGTAAAATTATTTTAAATTTGCTAAAAGTTGCTAAAAAATTCACATGTACAGTAGCCGTGACATTTATTTTATGCCCAGTCACTATCCAAGACCATGGCTGTACTGTCCTCTCCCATTAACCAGTTAGGGGAAAAAAACCAGGAAACTATATTTCATTAGACTAAATAAATTTGATTGTAATTTTGGCATAGTAATTTGCAATTAGCAGTGAGAATCAGCACGACACTCAAATGTTACAAAAGAAAAGATGCGTTTCACTCACAAGCACAAATTCTTTCTTTGTGCATAAAATAGGAATTAAGAATTGACATGCTAGGACTTTGCGACAGCAGTTGTGCTTGAGAACCACAAATGCAAAGGCTATGAAACAGGGATGGTATGGGCATAAAGCTACAAAAGCTGTGCTGTAATGTGGGTTTCAATTACAAGCATACATTCTTTCTTTAAGCATGAAATAGTAATGAAGAGTTCACATGCCAGGACTCTGTGGCCACAACAGTGCTTGAGAATGAAAAGCGTGTAGGCTATATGAAAGATGGTAGAGCCATGAAAGACTGTAGGCGGTTAAATGTCAAATAGAAACGAAAGCTTTATAGCTATGGCTAAGAAAATAGAATCCTTTGTTTGAGGCTATCTAATTAAACCTCTCATATTTTACTATCAGAAGGAACTTTTGGTATATCTACTTCTACAATTTATATGCATATGAAAAATTTGAAAAAATGTTTAGAATTTCAAAGTTGATATGGCACAGGAGAATCATAATTATAAGACAGTATCATGCAGTAGAATTACTACATCAAGGACAAATTAAAAACTACAAGTTTGGCAGCTAAGCACTTGGGTTCCAAATTGCTATGCGTTTATGCTTATAAAGAAAAAGAAACCCCCTCTCCATATAGGGACAAGTAGAAAAGAAACAACATTTACTTTCACAACTAAAGTTTAAGATTATGTCCTCCTTTCAAATACCTGTGACAATCTGTTACCCATCAGCACGATAGAGGATACCTCACTGGCAGCTCCAACACCACCTCCCATGGCAACTCCAACATGTGACTCAGCAAAGGCAGCTGCATCATTTATTCCATCACCGACCATGGCTACTATGCTCTGATCCTTCTGAAGTTCACTGATGAACTTTTTCTTTTCATCTGGCTTAACTCCAGACAGCACCTGCCATCACAGCATGTTTTGAAAGTCATGCATGACATATATTATACATACTATAAATTTTTTAACATCCCACAAAACCAAATACTCAGCCATATGACCAGTACTTCAAGCCTGGTCTGTCAGTTGTTGGTTTAGCCTCTTCCAGGAACCTCCAGTCTGTGGTTTGACAGACTGGAACAAGTACTCGAATGCTTGAAACTAAATCAAAAGTAATTTGGCATTTGAGATTTGAATGCATGGAAATGAAGCATGTATGATACATGAACCATAAAGAATCTCCTGCTTCCATCATGGTTAGAGGTGATGTTGGGTCTCCATAGAAGGATTTTTGAGCTACAAATGTGAGTGTTAGCATCCATGAGGTAAAGAATATCCCGCTCACAGCATGCATGTTTATATTAATTAATTGGCATGTCTTTCTAAAGCAAAGGCATTCTCAAGGTAAATTATGACTGGCATCACACATTGTCGAGTCTCCTTGAAGCAAAAGGTACTATTAGAGGCATGCAAGTTCCGTCTCAATTATTACAATTGCATAATGAAAAGAACTATAGAAAACTTCAAGAAAGAAGATTCAAATATGAAAAACTACTATAAAATTATTAGATAATTTGGAAATATTCTTCATGACAAAAAGCCTTCTTTTTTCTTTTTTTAGCAGGCTTGTGAATACCCATTTAAGTTCTAATACATGTAGATTTATATCAAACAAGTGAAAGTGGCATGGGGTTCGTGTCCATTCCAATTCTATTCGTTAGTTGTTCCAGATAATTTGTGACGTAAACTCCCATCCTTTGGACCAGAGATTTTAAAAAATAATAGAAAATTAAAGCTCCTTACCTTCTCTTTTGGAATGCCAACAAGTGAAGCAACATGCTCGGCAGTACTCTTTTTGTCACCAGACAACATGTACACGTTTATTCCCTGACAGGACAAGGATTCAACAACTTGTCGAGCATCTTCTCTAATCTGATCTTCAAAGTAGATAAGTCCAGCAAGTGTATTATCCACTCCAACATAGACAACAGACTGATTCTTAAGATCTTCCACTTCTTGAAATGGTTTCTCATCAACTCCATGCCTGCAAAAAAGAAATGCCTCAAAATCATAATTGTAATGTGCCAAAAATATCTAACATGTAGATCCCTATATTGGAGGTGCAAGAATGTCATCTTTAATTAAGTATACTGATGACACTCATTCCTCGTTTGTTTTCACTCAGGTTAACTTTAGAAAACGCTTCTCACATGTAATATGGTTTATCCTTTGAGAAAAACGTTATATGACAGTATCATGAGGCAAGGGAAAAGGACATGGAATGACATTATGCATGTTTGCTAGCTCATTGATGTGGTCATGGTCAACATTCAGAATCCTGGATCAATGTCAGGAAGCATAGCCGGTTTGAAAACCTACTGGTATTTAAAATCAAATCATAGCAGAGGTGCTACCACAGTTTGTTGCATCAATGGAACTGTCCAGAATACCAAAAAAGAACGCTGCACTTCCCCCCACAAAAGACCATTTCCTATAATAAATATGGTTTACCATTCTAGAAATTTTAAGTATGACTACATGGATATGCAATGTGGATAGTACATGGAATTGACACAATGATATGAAATTTTTTGAATCGAGAGATAAAAATCAAAGATCACTAATGAACAAGCAATTATTCATTGATGTGGGCACGCATAAAATTTAGAATCATAGAATTATCTTAACTTACAGCACTGTGGTACTTTATACAAAGCAACCAACGAGTGAAATACCTTTGAATCCAGTCTAGTGTTCCAATAGACACAACCTTATTCTCAATGGTAGCCACAGCACCAGACCCAGGTTCCTCCATGAATGTCCCCTCGGTCACCTGCTACAAATTGCTTTTCCATAAGAAATTTGAGAATACATGTGAAGCAAGATACATCAAACCCCACCATGACATTTTGGATACACATGGATAAACCAAAATTAGGAAAACATCATTTTATTTCAGATCCGTGAGGGATCCAGAGAAAAGCAAACTTTTAACCTTTTTTTTACTTCTCAACAGCACCGGGTACATCTAGTTTTAATGTCTGCAAATCAAAACACCCAACTTAAGAACCAAAAAATGGCTGGGATCTTTCTCTTTATCTCAATCTTTCCTCCTCTCATTAATGGTTTTATAGCTTTGTTCTGTCTATCTAAACAAAAATGTTGGGTATATTCCTGAGTGATCAAGGTACAAAAAAGATGAATGGTTTGTTCAAGGCCATCTTGGCAAACATTGAATTCTCCACCAAACAAAATGGTTGGATACCTAGCTCAAGTGGTGTTGTTGCAAGAAGGAAATGACATCTTCTTGAAGTTGCCCAATCCATCATGTTCATTATGAATGTTCCTAAAGTATATTGGGGGGGTGCAATTCTTTCAGCAGCATATATTATCGATCATTTGCCATTGAAAACATTAGATTTGAAGGTGCCTATAGATCTTCTTCAAGATAAATTTTCCCTCCGCAAGTCTTTGGTTGTGTTTTTTTGTTCATGTATCTTCAGAAAAACTAAAAGTAAACTAGATGCAAGAGCACAAAGATGTGTCTTTGTTGGGTATTCAGCAACTCAAAAGGCCTACAAGTACCATTATCCACTGGTGCAAGACCAATACTCAGTGAACCAACCACTATGTTATCCAGGAAGGAAGAATCTAAGCAGATCAATCAAGAAGTAAAGAGAAAACAATGAAAAAAGATAAGGGATTAGTAAAGGATAGAGCAGGATAGTTCACCCGAGTTCATTCATTCATTCATTGTTTGTTAAAAAAATTTGTTGTCTTTCTCCATGTACATTCTGTTGCATACATAGCAGCAGTACAAAGGAATTTCTTACAAAATAGGAATTCTTAACACCCATTAACCAAGCCATACGTGACCTCTATAAAAACTAAGAAAACAAAATGTAAACATAACATAAAACATTGCGTACAACTTAAACATCAGTAAATAAAACAGTGTTGAATAGATTGAATGTGCAACGGTCAAAAAGTATTCCCTCTCTTAGTCTTTTCTCATTCAATTTGAAATCAATTCCCAGTAATCACTTTCACTTGCAACAGTTCCCTTTCCATCAAAGCTTCCTTGTCCTCAAGGAAGAATTGAGGAAACCTAAGAGAAAATTCAGCCACAAATTCCCATGTTGCCTCTACTAGTAAAAGTTCCTTCCAATGAACCAGTACTCATGTTGCTGCCTGATCTCTCCTCTTCGTCATCTTTCTGTCAAGTATAGATTGAATGTGCAACGGTCAAAAAGTATTCCCTCTCTTAGTCTTTTCTCATTCAATTTGAAATCAATTCCCAGTAATCACTTTCACTTGCAACAGTTCCCTTTCCATCAAAGCTTCCTTGTCCTCAAGGAAGAATTGAGGAAACCTAAGAGAAAATTCAGCCACAAATTCCCATGTTGCCTCTACTAGTAAAAGTTCCTTCCAATGAACCAGTACTCATGTTGCTGCCTGATCTCTCCTCTTCGTCATCTTTCTGTCAAGTATAGATTGAATGTGCAACGGTCAAAAAGTATTCCCTCTCTTAGTCTTTTCTCATTCAATTTGAAATCAATTCCCAGTAATCACTTTCACTTGCAACAGTTCCCTTTCCATCAAAGCTTCCTTGTCCTCAAGGAAGAATTGAGGAAACCTAAGAGAAAATTCAGCCACAAATTCCCATGTTGCCTCTACTAGTAAAAGTTCCTTCCAATGAACCAGTACTCATGTTGCTGCCTGATCTCTCCTCTTCGTCATCTTTCTGTCAAGTATAGCCTAATGTAGAAGGACAAGGTGGCTGTTGTTGTTGAAGGTGTGGGCAATGTAGCTTGTCCTTGTGACCCACATGCTTCTTCAGTTAGGAGATGAATACAAGATGAGTGGCAGAAAAAGGAGGTAGATTCAGCCAATAAGCTACCGCCCCAATTTTCTCCATTTCCTAGTGAGGCCTATAGTATTTTGCTGTCAATTTTTGAGATTGTCTCTGAGCAATTGTTTTCTTTTTTTTGTTGGTAGAGTTGAAGTTCAATGTTGTTACATGTTGTCAATAGCATGTAATTAGGAAGTAATGTAGAGCCAAATTATAGGGATTCTAATTAGTCTAATTTTCTAATATAGGGTTTCTATTTGTCGGTCAGAGTATATCAACGTATATTTAGCCTATCTATTTATGGAATGATTAATACCTGTAAATATTTTGTGATTTGCTATTTAATTTAGCTTCCTATTTAGTTAGGTAGAATTAATGTAATTGCTGAGATTCAGCCATGTAATTAGCTCAAACATGGTTATATAATGAGTAGAACACTCACAAAGAGATCATCGAATATAACTGACATGGTATCAAAGAATAAAACTTGAGTTAGGTTTTCTAGGTCAATTCCTTTTTTGATTGTGAGGGTTGTTGAGTTTTAGGTTGTTTTCTTTGGTTTCGGGAATCTCTAGAAATTAGAAGTTCATTATGGTGTGACTTTTGTGGCTGGTTATGCTAGACAACTTGTATTGCACACAAATTGTAATGCACAGAGTCTCTTCTCTTTCTAGGGTAAGCAATTGTTTTGGGCTTGTTCTCTTTATGTTAGGCTGTTTCAGCTTTATTGGTTGGTATTTTTGTTCTTGTTCTTTCATTGTTGTGTTATGGGAATCATGAATAGCAACTCAGGTTCTTGTGGTGTGCAGTTTACAGGTAAAAAATATGGTACTTGGGAATCTCAATTTTTATGTGAAAGTAGTTATAGGGCTATATTGATGGGAATGACCTGGCTCCAACTAAGCTTCCTAAATTGGCTTAGTGGCAGGTCAAAGATGCTAGAGTCATGTCATGGATCTTAGGATCTATTGACCCTTAGATTGTGCTAAATCTGAGGCCATACAAGACTGCTAAAAGTATATGGCAATTTTGAAAAAACTTCTATGATCAAGACAACACAGCACAACGTTTTCAGTTGGAATATGAGATTGCCAAATACATTTAGGGCGACCTCTCCATTCAAGATTATTTTTCTAGATTTCAGAACTTATGGGGCGAATTTACTAACATGGTTTATGATAAGGTGCCTGATGCATCGCTCTCAGCTGTTTAGGAAGTTCATGAATAAAATAAGAGAGACCAGTTTGTAATGAAATTACAGCTTGAATTCGAGGCAACTCACTCTAATTTGATGAACCGTGATCCCTCTCCTTCATTGGATGTGTTTTGGAGAATTAATCCAAGAGAAGCAGCATCTTGGAACATAAGACAAATTTCAGCAAGATAACATGGCATCGTGGCATACGCAGCTCAGCTCTTGGGAAAGGAAGGGATAGAGATATGTGGAAGGTTCAATGCTTCAGTTGCAAGGAGTTTGGGCACACTGCTGCCCACTGTTCAAAGAAATCTTGCAACTACTGCAAGAAGCCATGCCATATCATCAAAGAATGTCCTATTCATCCCTAGAACTGTCAAGCTCATGCTTATCAGGATACAGCTGGTTCTTCTTCTTCTGTTGGTCCTTCTACAGTTAGAGACCAATCTGTTCTTACACCAGAGATGGTTCAGCAGATGATTAGGTCAGTCTTTTCTGCCTTAGGGCTCCAAGGTAATGGTACTACTGCATCTCAATCTTGGCTCGTTGATTCTGTTACATCTAATCATATGACTAGATTATCAGACACTCTGCAATGTTCACCCTTACCATGGTTCATCTCAGATTCAGATAGCTAATGAGTCATTTAGCTATTGATGAAGTTGGAGATATTAATTCTTCTTTCAGAGATGTTAATGTATCTCCTGAACTTTCTACTAGCCTTATCTTTGTAGGCTAGTTAGTTAATGATAATTGTGATGTTTATTTTTCTCGTGATGATTGTCTTATACAGGATCAGGAGTCGGGAAAGACAATCGCAAAGGGGCCTAAAATTGAAAAAAAAATTCCATTCCTACTTTGTCTTTGGCTTGTATGACAATTAATTCTCAAAGTGAAATATGGCACATACATTAGGTCATCCAAACTCTGTTGTTCTGTCTTACATGTTTAGTTTTGGTTTATTAGGCAATAAAGAACATGTTTACAAAGCTTTGTCATTTGATTGCTTGATATGCAAACTTGGCAAAAGTAAAACTCTCATTTCCTTCTCATGGTAATCGTGCTGAAAATGCTTTAATATTGCACATAGTGATGTTTGGGGCATTTCTCCTATGATTTCTCATGCTAAATACAAATATTTTGTGACTTTCATTGATGATTTCAATTGATATACTTGGATCCATCTTCTTCGGTCCAAATCTATCCGAGGTCTTGTTTGTTTTCCAAACATTTGTAACATGTATTGAAAACCAATTTTCTACGGTATTAAGATTTTGAGGTTTGATTCTAGTGGGGACTACATTTCCCACGAGTTTCATGATTTCTTACACCATAAAGGAATTGTGTCTCAATGCTCCTGTCCTTATACCCCCGCAGCAAAATGGTGTGGCCAAAAGTAAAAACCAACATCTATTAGATATTATTCGCATCTTATTACTTGAGTCTTCTATTCCTCCTAAATTCTAGGTTGAGGCATTATCTACCACAGTTTTCCTAATTAATAAAACTGCCATCTCGGGTCTTGAATTTTGATTCTCCATATCTTCGTTTACACCATCAGCATCCTAGTTGTCTTAATTTGCACACTTTTGGATGTGTTTGTTTTGTTCATTTACTGCCTCATGAACGACACTTTTTCTCAAGTCTGTTAAACGTGTTTTTATGGGTTATAGTATTTCTCACAAAGGCTATGCATATTATGATCCTAGTTCAAACAAATTTCATACTTCTTGTAATGTTGTTTTCTTTGAAAATCAATATTACTTTTCTACCCATGTTAAGTCCTTGCCTGAGCTTAGTGTTCTTCCTTGTTATAATGAATTGCTTCCTCTCCTGAAGAGTTCAAACCCAGAATTATGTATACTCGATGTTAACCAACTTTGCCCCCTCTCCAGTTTGATACTTCCTCCACACCTAATCCAATGCATTATGCGCCCCCTGAGCATGACATGGCTCCTACACCTAGTCCTCAACCCTCTGCACACCGGTATGGTTTTAATGCTACTTTAACTTCTATTCCTATTCCTACTTGTTTGAAATTGTCATCTTGATGTATCAGTATTGTTATGCATGCACATCTCTTATTCGTTTCCATTCTTTCCAATAATAATAACATGAAAAACAATAGCACACTAGATGCATATGTACCTTCACATTCTGACAACCAGCAGCCTGTGCAGCTTCTACTATAGCTTTTCCAACCGGATGAATAGTATTTGATTCCACGCCTGCAGCTAACTTCAAGAGTTCAACCTCAGACAACGTAGCATCTGTAGCATCTGGATTTAGTCTGCATCAAAGCAGGGAAATTTGAACTTCAAATCCACAAAAGCAATCACAGTTAGCAAAAAACAAACTTATCACCTTCAACAGCAGTATACAGCCAAAAACTGTTAAAGGACCTAAGTTAAAGATGTTGAAATTTAGTCTTTGAATCGGTCAACATGGTCAAATTAACGATAACCAAAGTAAGAAGTTCAAAGCACTAACTCCTTCTAATGTACATTAATAAAGAGTTGCATAAGTGAAAAATAAAGATTCCTGGAATACACAAATTGAACAGGAAAAAGTACTTTTAAATGTGCACAATATTTAAAGAGAAGTATTTCCAAGATCAACGAGTTTAAGCAGCCGAGTGACAGCATGCAGTCATTAAGCAGATAGATTTATTCACCAATGAACAAACTACTTGCACATGACATTTGATTTTTTAATGAACCGGTTGCAAGTGCTTAACAACAGCCACAGCTACTTGGATTACGATAAAAAACTGAATCTGCAGTCTGCTACATTTGGAAGCAAGATCACTAGAGGATTAAACCAGTAATTATATTAAAAAAGAAAAAGAAAAAGGAAAAATCTGAAATTTATTTATTTATTTATTTATTTTCTTCCTAGATTGACATGGATAAGAATACTTAAGCAGAAAAACTGCTCATGCTTGTTAGGTCAAAACATGATTATCAATTAACACAAACACAATCTTGAGTTGAGTCAATAAATGTGATCGAGGTAAAAAAGAGAGACAATCCATTACAGATTTTTCATGCCGGGGATCTTACATGCTTAACTGTGAACAAGAAAAAAAAAATCACTCTCATAAATGTGAATTTGATAAGCAAACATAACAAGAAAATAATTTTGATCACAACAATCAGATAATCCCATGATTAAACACAACCTTGAGTTGAATCAATAAATATGATCAAAGTAAAAAAGAGACAGACAATCCGTTACATATTTTTCATGCCAGGACTCTTACATAATAACTGTGAATCAGGAAAAAAAAAAAAAAAAACCACTCTTGTAAATGTTAATTTGATAAGCAAGCATCACAAGAACAAAATATTGAGCACATCAATCAGATAATCCCATGATTTAAAGAAAACTTCTCCCACAACTTACTGTGAATCTGTAATTTTCATGCCTCCAAATGGAACAACTTTTGTTACAGCAGGTCTGCCAATTGTTAGGGTTCCTGTTTTGTCAAACACAACAGAATTCACCATTGAGAACTTCTCCAGAACATTTCCTCCACGCAAAAGCAATCCTCTTGTTGCTCCCAATGAAGTTCCAACCTGAAAGAAGAAAAAATATTGAAGCCCATAATCAATCAAAGTGCGACAATTACATGTGGTAACATGATGAAACTGGAGTTCTTCAAGAAGGATACCAGTACAGCAGTAGGTGTGGCCAAGCCAAGCGCACATGGACAAGCAACAACCTGCATTCAGGATACACATGCTCACTTTTGCATGGATTAAAACAGGCAGAGAAAAGAAGCATTCCTAGACCACAAAATCAATAAGAGATAAAAACCCCTTTTATTCTAAAAAGGTTATCAACAAGATGTTTCTATGGAAACTCATAGCTTGGAAGTTGAAATATAAGAAAAGGTTTGCGGTCAAAATGTTGACACAAGTTGCACCAAGCCTGGAATTGAGGTGCCACAGGGCTACAAATGTACCATGATATTTGACTTCCAAAGTGATTCTTTCTACAATCATGGCCATCAAATCATAATTTTATTTTATATAAAAGTTGAAAGCATGGTCCTTTGATCTTTTTGAAATCAAACTTTTGAATCTTTTGACCATCCTTGGCATCATTACAAACAATGTCTCCATCAGCAAAACAAGGAACTCATTATGAGTAATGTCTTATAGGTCTTTCAGTGGATAAAATACTATGCTCACACTATATAGCATGATGCATCATCGTTTTTATTTGAGAAGATAGTTGTAACAAACATTCAGGATAAAAAAACTCCAAGCATTTTCTTTGTTTGATAGAGTTATGTATATGTCTGAAATAATGTCTTTTCAACCCTAATAACCAAAGCAACAATAAAATACAAGAAAGTGACTTGAGAAAAAAAGACCATGAAGAAACTGAAACCAATTGAAACCCCAAGAAAAGTGAAAAAGAATTTGTTCAACCAAACAGAAAATAAGTACAACACAAATGGGCCAAACATAGATAAGCATGTTATGTAGTACGCATGAGAAGAATGTTGTTAACACGAATTCATATGATCTTTTCTAACGCGGTTATTGTTTTAGGTTTACTGGAGAACTAGGTACCATACTGAGACTCGTACCAAAACACTGCAAGAGAGTTGTAGAGCTAGAGAAATTGGATTTCCTTGGTTCAAAGTTGCGGGTAGAATGCGTGTCCCAAACATGCTCCAGAACATAAATGTAGCTGCTGAAATTGTCATCACCCCATAAGTAAAGTGCCCAGACACCTGATGAAACAAGAAAATAAAAGGAGAGTAAAGTTCCTATGAATGTCTACATGAACACAAACACATCTCAAATTCCTGTACACTTTTGGTACAAAAACCAAGGCAAGGATTGGGGGGGGAAGAGGTGAGAAGTAAAAAAGTAACAATCACTACCAACAAATAGCTTAGAATTGGATAATAGTAGATGATTAATAGAAACACTGCATATAACCCAGTTTTAAAGATTTAAAACACTCATATGTATGTTCTGACATCAGCATACATGTTTCGAAAACCAAGTTTGTTTCTGAGATCAGTTGACCACATAGATCAACTTCCCTCCAAAATTGTAAAACATCTAGGCATGACCTTGTTTGTCTCAGCTTCCCCAGAAACATTGAACACCATCATAACAAAATATACCAAATGTAATTGAAGAAACCTTGTCAGCCAAGCGTTGTACTGGAGCTTCCCTGCTCTGTGCTTCTTCCACCAAACGAACAATATCTCCCATGGCAGTCTCACCCCCTGGTCTTGTGACTTCAATTTTTAGAGTTCCATTGAGGTTTATACTTCCAGCTGATACTTGACTCTAGAGCATTCAAAAATACTCTGTAATTAGTAATATCAAAGCAGGTGCAACTGCTATAATTAATGTAGCACAGGATGGGTGCATTTCTGAAACAAATCATCATGCAAATATGCAGCACTTCTACATGATGCCGTCAGAGAATATTCATTGGTTGCATGTAACTGGAGAATAATACCCCAGGTAGTTTGGTTACTGGCAATGGCTCCCCTGTGAAACTCGACTCATCAATGGTGCTTCTACCTGCTGTGACTGTTCCATCGGCTGGAACACGATCCTAAAACAACAAGAGAATGCATGTCAAGGGGATCATGTATACAAAATTTATGCAGCAGGTAACAAGTTTCTCAACCTCTGCAACATAATTGAGAAGCCCAAGGAGAAATGGGGAAAAAAGTAAGCAAAAAAGAAAAAAGAAAGAAAGCCTATTGAAAAGCAAGACATTTGTCATAGAAATAGCATCTCATGAAGGCCAAATCTATAAAGAGAAGGTTATTAAACAAGACATTTAACGTGTGAACTCATCAAATGAGAAAATTAATATTAATATTAATATTAAAGCTGCTGGTGTTACATGAACAAAAGAGACAGTCCTATACTTACACCAGGTAGGACAACAATTTTGTCTCCAACAGAGAGGCTGCTGCAAGGAACTTCAACAATTGAGCCCAGGTCTTTTGCATCACCATTGACTACAAGACGAGCTATTGTAGGTAGAACACTTAAAAGTCCAGTCATATCACTGGTTGCTTTAATTTTAGCTCTCTGTTCAAGATTCCTTCCTAGCAAGACAAAAGCTATTAACATAATCGGTTCCTCAAAGAATGCCTTCCAACCCTGCTTCCAAAGAACCCATTGACAGGATTTAAGTGTCAGCAGATAATCTCTAAATAGACCAATCATCCATTTAAAATACAAATAAGTAAGTTGTTTCTTAGAAATAAAATAAATAATATTGTTACCAGGCAGTATGTATATATAGCAATAATTTATATTTACAGGATCGTTGTGGTTGGCAGAGCAATGTTAGGGATTTCTAATGATTTGATAGAAAAGATCACATATTTAATTAATAATTAGACTGTAAATAGGGAGAGTTCTAACTATTTAAAGAGAGGCCAACCTCCATTGAGAGGTATTCAAACCGAAAACCAATTTCAATCTTTCTAACATGGTATCAGAGCTCCTAGCTTAAATTTCTAGAGTTATGAGAAATGCTCATCTTGGTTTGTGGGCTGATTCAGTTCATTTTTTTGGAGGTTCTTTGGCTTGAGCTGAATTATATCAGCATCTTGTTTGCGGCATTAGTGTTTTCATTAATCTTGTCTATTTTTTTGAGGCTATTGTGGTTTCTTAGTCATGTCAGAAGAGAGAAAATTCACTCAATTTGTTAAGAACTTCACAAGATGGGAAGGGGAAGAGAGTAATATTAATTGTGCATGTAGACAATATAATTCTTATTGGGGATGATGTTCTTGAGATCAACCAATTGAGATCTTCCCTCTCATCAACATTTGAGATTTAAGGATTTAGGGTCCCTCAAGTATTTCCTTGAAATAAAGATTGCTCGATCAAAGAAGGGGATTGGTTTCTCCTAACAGAAGTATTTCCTTAATCTTCTTAAGGAGTTTGGGTGGTTGTAGGCCAGCAGACACTCTAATAGATCCCAATCAAAAACTTGGAGATGACAAGAAAGGTAGGCTAGTGAATACAACATAGTATCAAAAGTCGATGGAAAAAATGATTTACTTATCACATACATGACCCAATATTGCATTTGCTTTGAGCTTAGCAAGTCAGTTTATGCACTAAACTACACAAAACATCTTGAGGCAGTTTATAAGTTTATCGGATTCTCAGATACTTGAAAAGTACATCATGCAAGGGTTTACTCTTCTAAATGACCACACAACAGACAATAAAGGGATATGCAGATTGGGCAATTTCAATCACTGATAAAAATCCACATCAGGATATTGTACTTTATGTGTGGGGGTACACGGTTATATGGTGAAGTAAAAAACAACATGTGGTTGCAAGAAGTAGTGTTGAGGTAGAATATAGGGTTATGGCTAATGGAGTTTATGAAATGTTATGGCTAGAGAGAATTCTACCTATAACCGTGTAAATTGTAATGGTTTTTGACATGGATACTTCCATGGTTGTGTCAGTCTAATCTAAGAAATAGTATCATCCTAGATTGCACAGAATTTGCCCCTGTTAAATACTCAGCATTACCAAACTTGGTGGTGAATGTGTGTTTGATGCCATGTTATTGCAGACATCTGTGACAATTGAATCTATTTCCTTTGACTGTCCTTGTTGCTCGGTCCTCTTTAGGAAAGTATTCCTCTAATCTAACATGTTGATCATAATCATAACTTGATGAATCTGATTGAAACCTTATGGATTTTATTAACATGTATTGTCATGCAGATTAATCAGCGTGAAGCTGCTAGTAGCAACATCTTTAGGCAAAAGGAGTTTAATCTTCAGTCACTAGGTATAGGTGGTTTAGGCGCAGAATTTGCAGATATATTTCAAAGAGCTTTTCAACAACGAAGAAACAAACACAAAAGATGGAGGGACAAGGCCAGATGATGGTGAAAGTAATGCAGCTGGACAAGGAGATTCTGAGAAGAATTCAACGGAGAAGAAACCTGGTACTGATGAGACTGAAACAAAATTGGATGAGAATACTGGTGAAGGTGAGGATGGGGAAATAGGAAATGATAAGATAAATTTCCTTACGATTTTACGATTCAAGTTTATTTTATATTTTTCGTGCCGTGTCAAAAATGCGTTTTTGACAACCTTAATTGCGACAACAAAGCCGTTATAAGTATTGCACATAATCCAGTATAACATGATCATCATACAAAGCATGTAGAGATTGACAAACACTTCAAAAAAGAAAAAAGATTGATAGTGGAGTTCTATTCATGCATTTTGTTCCTACTACCCTACAAATAGTTGATATCTTCACCAAGGACTTTTGAGACCTTGATTTGAGCTTTCTAAGCAAGTTGGGCATGATAAATATCTATGCCCCAACTTAAGAGGTTAGATTTATAGGAAATAAAATAGGACATGATATTGAAAATAAAATATAGAATTACTGTTTCAGATTTTTAGGAGTTTATGTTTCCTTTTCGAGCCTAGAAATCTGCTCTTTATTTTTTGATTTCCTAATTTTGTGGCCTTCCTGATTTGGTGGCTTCCTTTGCTATATTTCTTGTAACCAGAATTATTGAAAGAATAAGACAGAAAATTGTTCTTCTTCCAAAAACCTACACAATAAAACTTTTAAAAGCAAAAGGAAATATCAAAGAAAAAGACAGGGGAAAAAAAAAAAAAACCAAGCTGCATATACACTTCACACTTGCATGAAAAAATTTGACTACCTTCCAGATCACCTACTTAACACTGCAATTTAGTTCTAGAAAAACACATGCAACGAATTGTATGTCATAAAGCACATAAAGCAAAAGCAAAAGAAGTAACCAGCACAGCTACCATTAAAGAAAGAAGGAAAAACATTGAATCCCAAATGAAAATAGAAATGTATACGAATAGGAAATATGACTCACCAGCTTTGGTATTAATGCAGCTAATGAGCTAACAGCAAACGAGGATAACGCCCCAAGACCTACTAAAGTGTTCATATTTGGAGCTCCCTTAGAAAGGCTTTTAACACCATCAAGAATAAGTTGACGCCCAGGACCAAGCAATGTAAACAAAGACAAAGACACATGGAATCCTACAGAATGAAACACATGGATCCATGGAGGCTTAGCGGCAAAAATATGAGAAACATGACCAAGGAGGCATACAGCACAGAGAGCACAAGAGACAGCAAGCTGATGACCTACAAAAAAGAGCAATGAGCATGATTTCTTGATAGATGAATCATCAGCATATAAAGTTTTAACGAAATTTTTAATCTCTGAAGTAATGTGTATGAGGATATTTACTGCTTTCTTTTAGGCGATCACGCTTTTCATCCATTTTCTTTTCAAAAATTTTGAAGAAATTCTGCCTTCCAGCATCTGTACATAAACAACCATTCAAGCAGCAAGGATGTTAAGCATATTCCACAACAAGAGTAGAAACATGTTAAGCAAATGAATAACAAAACCAATCCTCATAATGGAGATTAAAGGCTATCAAAATTAATAGGTCTATCCATGAAGCTCTGAGTTGGCTTAAAAACTTGGTCACTTGAAAAATAGCAGCAATGTATGGAACTTGGAACTGGTTTCATCAGATTGGAACCTAAAAGGCAACGAGGCAGAAAGTGTAGGATTCATTACTTATCAATAAAAAAAGATTTATCATGTGCCGTTTATTAATAAACTTATTAGCAAAAGAAAAACAAAAGCCCAAAAAAGGACTAGTGCACCCTGTACAAGCGAAGTATAAAACAGAGCACCTACACTAAATTACAAATAATAATAATAATGAAGCAGATTCTTATCCTCAAGCATCAAAAGAAACTTGAAAGAATCCCCTAAAAAATCACATTACTGAATCTACAAACCCACAGAACAATTTAGTCAGTATCATATTATACTTTACTAGTAATTCCTCATAAGGATATCCTCTCCAGTAGCTCTTGCATTTTTCTCTAACCCAAACCAGACACCCCTCTCAAATAAACTAGCATAAACTGAACTAGACCAAATGGTGAAAGAAACATTTCCCCTATTTTGCTGGCCACTACACGATGACCAAGTAACTCATCAACTGATTCTAAAGAATTATAAACATACTACACCAATTCAGTATAAACTTTTTCATCTGTGACAATTTTGCATATGCTGAAATATGAGAAGAGATCTTTGTCCACACCAAAAACAGAAATAGGAAAAGCAGTCTGCCATGCTAATCTTCTAATGGAACATACTGCCTTCATAAATAAAATACACAGTGGTGAGATTTAACCTCAATGCAACCATTTTTTTGTTAGGCCAATAATATAGCATATCTTCCCTGAGGCGGCACCAAAGTGATAAATGGCAATGGAAGCATCCACCATTAGGTAAGACATGCTATATTACGAATATAATATTGTCTCAATGATCCTAAATAAATTTAACAAGGATATCAAATTTCCAAACACTTTTACATGACGTTTAAATTTTAGCAAGAGAGTGGATGGGTCATAATGTCTATGAAATCTGTAATGTATAAACCAACAAATTAAAGGGTCTCTAAAAAATTACATGGTATTAGAGACGAGAGAGATAAGAAACACTTAGCATCCTTATCTTGAGTTAAGAAGATGCAATCAAATAAAGAACCACATTAACATATCAATGGACAAGAAGGTGCAGTCTTAAGATGAAACTGTTGTGGTGAAAAAGAAAATTTATAGCTCCAAAACATCTAAACATCATAAGCAGAAAACCACAGGTTGTTTAAAGCTAAACTGAAGACAGAGTGAGGAAACTGTAGACATAGTGCTTAGTAGTAGTGAGGAAACTGCAGACATAGTGCTTAGTAGTTAGTTCAGATTTATGTTCTAACTCTAGGAATCCATGCATTTGCTTACAGACTTTGTCTAGTGACTGTAAGAAAATACTGTTTGCAATCTCATTTTCTGGGCATGCTCACAAAAATTCTCTGACAAGTAATCTATAATCCCGCTATTACAATAAAAATAAGCCATATCTAAATCAACAAAAGTGGAAGTGAAAAGAGCGATTCAATTCCCTAAACCAAAATTTTTACCATATTCAGCATTGACAACCATGAACAAATTATTTGTTTTTATTACCAGTCATAATCCAACTAGCCAGTATAATGAAACGAGATGCTGTACTCCTAAATCTTATTACTATACACAGATAATTAGTGCAATGAAAACACTCCATGAACCTAGCCACCTAGACCACATTCTCGAAAACAAACAATGAAGGGGAATTCAATGAGTTCTTTAAAAGGCTAAACTAAATTAAAAGTTATACTTCCATTGGCTACAACGTAAAACTGCATTTTTACAAACTATGAAACAACTAACTAGGCCAATGAAAGGCTGATGCCTGGCATTTAACATTGCTGAATAGCTACAAAAAGGCATATTCATCAACTGAAAACATTTAGGAGCTGTCTGCTTTTATGAAAATTTGTTCAAAGTTCTTAAAAAGTTAATATGAACAAAGATGCTTGCTTGCCTGCTGCATCTTAAAATTGGTTTTGCTATATTTTATGTTCTAAATAAACCAGTGGAAAGTGTTTTTTTCAGTGACTCCAAAGGTTGCTTCCAAGAGAAGTGATAAAAAAACAAGTTTTTGAAAGCAAAGAGAAGAAAAAATTACTCAAAAGATTGTTTTGTGTTTCATTAGCATGATTAGGAATACAAAAAACTGAAACAGAACAAAATATGGCCACAATATTCTGTACCGATAGACATCTAAGAGTTGTGGTGGCATATAGAATCAGGCAGGTAAAATTTCTGACAAAGTAAAAATCATATAATGAACATGAACGATGTTCCCAGATACACAACTAATGCTTTGCAAGATACAAGATACAAGAAGAATTGTATCAGACTTTGCAAAGTAACAAAAATACAAGGCAGTGAACTTTCCCTCTGATTCTGTAAAATACAGTAATCACTTCAATGTCACTTTCTCTTGCATGTGAATACAATCAACCTTTATAAATGAATATCCTAGTCTCTCGATGTTAGTTAAATCAATGACATATTCAGATTGTGCAATAACAGATCCTCCAGAACAAATGGCTCCCAAGCACCAGAATTTTTCTCTCTTCAACCAATCCACCACAAGCTGTTGAGATTTACCTATTGAAGGGAGAAATCATAATATTAATTAACACTTCTATAAGTGTCCTTTCTAATCTAATATAATTGAGAAGATTTTTGTAAGATTCTTCTGAAGCAAGCAAGTCACCATGAAATCAAAACTCAATGAATTAGGGACATACCATAAAGAATTATGGTCGCTCCTCACAAGAAATCTTTAGCATTTCTACATTGAAATATCTCCTTTGGTAGCTCCCTGACCTGCCACTAGCCCACCAAACTTCACATAAATCATACGGAAACTCTGGAAGCATGGGAGTGTCACTCAGGGTTAAGATTTCAGGGTCTTCCTGCATTATTTAGGCATCCTCTCGCTGGTATGGTAAGTTTAGTCCTATATCAGTTTGGGAAGCTACTTTAAAATGTTTGGTCTCGTTTTTATCGACTAAACGGACAATTGGCTGTTTCAAAGAGTGGAATATTCAGTGTTCACTTTTTTGCACGTTATCCACATGCAAGAAAGACTAATTTAACATTACTTCTTGCTTGATTTCTTGATTATTGTTATTTTTTTGTTCTCTTGTTTTTCCTGTCAAAGGCAATCAATCCCTCATTTGTTATCTTGAGCACTTGGGTGATACCAAAGTATTAGAATCTCAAACGCCATATGCAAGCATGTGAGAAATACCGCAAAATTAAAGTAACATCAATAATCTAATAGTGACAGCGCTGATTAATTCGTAACAATCACGGAATGCACGAATGGGGCAAAGTAAATATACTCAATAGGTCATTACACATTTCAACTAGAGGGAGGAGTCTAATCACAACAATGATGATGATGACCACTACAATGATGGTGATGTGATGGTTTACCTCGAAGGTTAGACATGAAACCACAACTGGTCAGATGCTTTGCAAGTGCCTCACCGAGCTGTTTCTGCCAGTTGGGTACACCTTTTGCTTCAGATACTGGCCACACTATCGCAGTCTCTGTAGCGAGATTGACACTAGCAGAAGATACTTGCGGCTGTCCATCAAAAGAACATAGATGACGATTACAGAAAACAAATTGGAAGCAGAAAGGGGATGCACTGGGTTTTTTTGTGCTTCGTATCTCAAATATTTCATAAATTAAGGATAATTCTGCCAAACTTCTTAAGAACCATACTAAAAAGACTTCTCCAACTGAGCTTTTTACTCACATTCCTAAGTTTTGTTTTGTAAGACAAGCAAATGAAGCAACAAAAAAATAATTTCATTGTCCAAAGAAAAAATCAAAGAAAAGAAAATGGAATCTTACTTGACTTTCAAGTATTCTTTTGACACTAGCTGCACATCCCCCACACGTCATTCCCTGCCAGCACAGCAATGGTATTTTAGCCTTTCTTTACTTTTCTTTTCCTTTACCCCCCCCCCCCGAGAATCGTAAAATAGTAGTGATTATTTAATATAAAAACAAAAACCAGAGTTTGTCTTAGACTTCTTACTCCAACATCAAGTATGATAACATCCGGTGACAGCGTCGACACCTCCTCCGCGCCCACCGCTCCCGCAACCGAGTTCGACTCCGCGTCACCACCGTCCGATCCACCACCTCCGCCGCCGCTTCCAGACTCGCCGCCCCCTCCACCGCCGCCTGAGGACGAGGTCCCGCAGGAGGCCGCGGACCG